GACCCAAATTCTTTTAATGCAATGAATATATAACAATGTTTTTCACACAGTGATCAAAATGATATTATCTGAAGTGATAATCAGCTGATTAACTACACTCTGTATAGATATGAAACCTTCAAACATTGATGCATTAAAATCAGCAATAAAACAAGTAAAATGAAATAAATAGAAAATAAAATTTAAGAATGTTTAAAAGCTGTTAAAGCAACTGAAAAAAACAATACTATAATCAGTGTTATATATTCAAAAGCTTTAAGATATGGAACTGAGTAATACTGTATGTAAAAAATATATTCACTTTATAACCCTCATTCAAACTAGATCATTGATTTTTAAATGTCTAAGAGGAATGAGAAATTGAAGTTATATTAAACAAGCATCAATACTGTGATTAAATACAATATTTTATCAAATGAAAGAATTGTACAAATGCAGATATGTAATGCACTCGTTTATTATTTCCTTATTATTATATTATCTTTGTTTATATCTTCGTCTATTCTTACCTCTTTCCATTATACTCTCGCTACCACTATTTCTGTATGTATATATATATGGATGCATGTATTTCGCACATCTTCTTTCTCTTTCTTTTCCTCTTCAGCGATTAGCTACAACTACAACTACAACTACAATTACAACTTCAACTATACTACTACTATAATTATTATTATCTTCCACTACACTATATACTATCTTCTACTATTCACTCTTCACACTGTCATCACCCCTCACAAGATAACTCTTAGGAATCTGAGAAAAATTTAATGAACAATCAAAAATACTTGAAATAGTTTAATAAAATCTAATAAAAATTAATTATCAAATGAAAATGAAGAAAGCAACAATGATTGCTGAATATATTTATTCTGTTCAAAGATTAAAAAACAAATTTTTCTCAGCTTGATCAGTGTCATTTATGAAATTGTCATCAAGACAGATCTGTTTATTATCTTAGATTTTCTCAATTGATGAAACACAATATTTTAATGATAATTTAAAAGTTGTAATTGATGATATAATCATTAAAATCTCATCAACTACTGTTTCATCTGAGATCTCATCAGAAAGCAGCATCTCATAAAATTCATTAATTAAAGATAAACCGGTTTTTCAAAAGCGCTCAGATATATATAATTCATTAATATTCATAACAATATAAATTTAAAGAAACTTACAGCAGCACAACTTCTATTGAATATATGACAAATATGACAGCACATATACTCATTATTCACAAAATACTATAACGGGTTAGCACTCGTTAGTGGTTAACTTACGCAACCAACCCCTTCTGCCTCACGCTCCGCGCCCGCGTAGTCGCGTAGTTCTAACGATTCTTCCGCGTAACCCTCAATGTTCTTCCGCTCCGTGCTCCACTGCGGGGCGGCTTCTGATATTCTTCCGCCCCGATCTCCCCTCTATAAGAACCCCCTTCGTACAACACTTTCCTTCTGATCTCTTTTCTCTTCTTTCCTTAATCAATTCG